ATTCAGAAAAAAAGTCAGGCCATCTCAGTGATTTCTTGGTAATATGGGGCTCCCAGGTAGTAAGGAATCAGTTCCCAGGAGTAGTGCCTGGGAACATTGTTTAGGCAAAGAGTCTTTTCTTTCTTCTGCTTTCTTTTCTTTTCTTTTGTTTTTTCATTTCTTTTTAAATTTGTTTTTAAACAAATTTTGTTGTGTATATTTGAGACTTACACCATGATGTTATGGGATGTGTGTAATTAGTAATGTGGTTACCACAGTGAGGCAGACTAACATATGTGTTATTTTGTTATTTGTGACAGAACAGCTAAAATCTTACTTAACAAAAACCCTAGTAAAGTACAATAAAATTTTATTAACTATGGTCCTCATTTTGGACCTTGGATCTCTGAAATATTCATCCTACATATCAGCTACTTTGTATCCTTTGACCTATCTGGCCATTTCCTCCTCCAGCCTGATAACCAATCTGTTATTCTCGGTCTCTTTGTATCGATCTGTTCTTAATTTTTGTCTCTTTTTTAAAGATTTCACATAAAAATGAAGTCTTGCAATATTTTTCTTTTTGTGTTCAGGTTATTTCACTTACGATCTCTTCTATTAAACATTCTGAAGGACAGTTTAAACAGAAGTTTGAGCCCATAACAATTGTGTAATACTGTTATGAGTTGATATCAAAATTATCAGCCTATCCCTCCCAATAAAACCTAAGCAAAAAATACGTATTTGCAGGACATAAGCAAAGAACTGCACTAGACATTCAGGACAATACATGGCACCTAAAGGCACTCAGTAATGTACAGAAGAGCATAAGTTTCTAACATTAGCAATGATGATATTTGAAATCAAAGTCAAGGAAGACTGAGTTACTTCAAGCGGAAATACTTCTGACAGGCACTAGTGAGGAGGATTCCTATGAAACAATGTTGTGAGCAGTGTGGTACTACCGTATGAGCTACATCTCAATCTGTGTGCTCTTCCATGCTCCCAGCTCTGGTGCAGCCAGTGAAAAGTACATCTGGGAAAGTTAGAATGTGATTTGGCCCACAAGTGGTAACTAAATATGAAAATTGGAGTGACTCTCAACAGCACAAGGAAACTGAACTGATGAGTGACCCGCTGGATTGGATAGTATTGGAATCATTTGGCTGGTGGTGCCAATCAGTCACCATTTTGTTTTGAAATGGAAGCCCGATAATCAAATAAGTTTAGTAAAATTCCTTGTGTTTACAGAGATCTAGTCAAAATGAGTCTACATTTTCCTATTAACGAATCCTAGTGGAAGTCGCATTTTGCCTTTCTAATTGAGTATTTGCTTACATGTGTGTGACACACATCCCCGAATGAAGCAAAAAACACACTATTATGCGTTTACTTCTGATTTTTATGGGCATTGGAACTCTAGTTTTTTTTTTGCTTTATCCCAAGGCTCCACTTGCCAGAAAAACATATTTGTACTATTGTGTATCTGTTACCTGTATTAGATGAATTATCAAACTCTGAAAAATCTTCTCACCTATGTAAAACAATTAATGTGAAAAGAGCAACACCGGTTTGGAAGCAGAATTCTGGTTAAACCGTTTACCAGCAGCATTTTGCCTGAGAAACATTACTTCATTCTCCTTGGTTTCCTTACTCAGAAAATATACAGAGTACGTAGTACCTGCTGCTCACCTGACAGGGCTATTGAAAGAAGAACTCAGCTATACTAGGATGAAGGGACCAAGCAAAGGATAAGAGCACAGATGTGGAGTCCCAGAGCCTCACTTGGACTACCACTTCCTCTGTGATCTTAGGCAAGTAACTTGATTTCTAGGCCTAATTTCAGTTATCTCTCAAATGAGGATAATACTGATACCTATTTCATATGCTCGTTGAGGAGGTTAAATATCACAGTATACATAAAGTACTGGGCGTCTCTGATGGGTAGCATTTATGAGCATTTACTGTATTCCAGGTACACAGTAACATACAGGAAAGTGTGCTTATACTGTGATGTTGTGTGGTGGAGGCGGAGGCCCAGTTCTGTCCTTTTCTGTTCTCTACCTTCCCTCCCAAGTGGACTTGCTTCTGTAGCCCATGGCCTTGCCAAGTGAAGAGTTCTTACCAAGGGTGCTAACTTGGAGAGAGAAGGAAGAGGCCAATTTATAGGACCCACCATTTTCTGCAAAGAGGAGAACCTCTGGAGTGAGACACTGGGCCTGGAAGATGTTAGCCTGAGGGTTGAATTTTGTTGAATCTTCAACCTGTAATCTTACCTTCTCCATGCATTTCTGGTAAACTTCATCACAAGGATCCAGAACTTCAGGAGAGGGAAAGAATGGCCAGAAAGAAAAAGTTAGTTAAGCATGCTCTTTGTCTCCCTTAATTTAGCCTCCACGTTTTAATTGTCATTACTTTCAAGTACAAAAGAAGTTACCCTGAGGCAGGAGGATTGTAAGTTCGAAGATATCCTGGGAAACTACATCTTAGTGAGACCCTGTTTCAGAATTTTAAAGGGTCAAGGATGTAGCTCAGTGCAAAGGTCCTGGTTCTATTTCTAGTAGCACAGAAAGAAAAGGAAGAGGAAGAAAATGGAGGAGGGAGAGAAGCGGGAGGGAGGGCTGGTAGGCAGGAAGGAAGGAAGGGAGAACTTATCTGTTTTCATGAAATAGTTTTAATGGAAAAGTGATTGTCAACATAACTACCATTGTTTTAACACCGAAATAGACAGGGAATAATTATACTGGACTTTCATTCAGTTATTTATCATCACAACACTATGAGGAAGATTCTATTATCTACGTTCACAAATTAGAGAAATGAAGATATATCAGAGAGGATAAAATATTGCCAAAGTTAGCAGAAGGCACTTCTGAGGCTCAAACGTGGGATTATGTGGCTCTAAATCACTGCTTTTAATTACTACATTACCCCCTGATTTATGTAATTAGTGACAGCTAGAGTTCAAACTCAAGGCACATGAGCTTAAAATCCATGTCTTACACTTCTAGTACTCACCCAGAGCCAAGGACAGTGAAATTCAAGGAATAGACAATAAATCCCATTTGAGTATTTGTCAGCTCTCACCAAAATATGGTAAAAGCCTTCTCCTTTCAAGATGGTGAAATAAATGAAAAAAACCGTTTGATGGCTTAGTAAAGTAGAGTTTTTTAAATGATAGGAACAACTTTGTATCCATTTTTGGGGAAAGCCATTGTTATCTGCACTTTTATGAAAGACACTGGTCCTTCCTTTGGACTAAGTTCATGCACTTATTTATCATAACAGCAAAACGATAAGGAAGATTCTACTATTATCCATGTTCACAAATTAGAACTTTGTGGAATTTTGATGACCTCTGAGCTTCCCCTCCAACCCACACCGACCTTAGATGAGGATGGAAAGCAAACTTAGGTTAGGTGTAGGGAGTCTTTGTGAGCCTTGGCCTGCACAGCTTTATCTCTGCCTGTTATTCAGTCTCCAGGAAAGGCACCTCGGAGCCAGACAGCGGTGCCCAGATAATTCACTTAGCACTGCCCCAGAAAGGAAATTCTGCTCCATTTGTCCTGGTCTCTTTGAAAATCCAAATGTGATTTGGGTTGATAGTCAGTGTACCAAAACACAAGCAAAAAAGCCCCATGTTGTAGAACCCAGGGTGAACTTTAACCTTCTGAGAATTTTTTGGTTTTCCTGTACGAGATGTCTTTTATTATTGCAAGGTCTATTCTCACAAGGTATTTCATATTACAAAGAAGGGTTTCCTGAAACGTAATGTAATTCATTATAATTAATATTCTTAAGTGAAAAGATGAACTTGAGTGCCAAATTGTAACTAGAGTTTTTAAAAGTTATCAGCAAAAATATAGGATTGTACTATATAAATAAGCTTATTTAAATACATTATGTTAATTACATAACTGCAAATACAAATCGGATGAAAAGCCTTAATTTGATTTGTTCCTTTCTGTTCTGCCGATGTAGCCTTAATTGCGCATGATAAGAAAACACTTTTATTCTGAAAACACAACAGACTGTGTGACCACTCCAGCAACCTGCTCCAGTAAAATATCAAACAAATGTCATGTCAGTGCTTGCCTCATGGACAAAAAAAACAAAAAACAAAAAAACAAAACACTGAACATTTTCCCCAATTTACTATTCAGTCAAAATGTGAGAGGGAGACGTTTCCTTTGTGCAGTTCCTCCAAAGAGGAAACAATCACTCATAATTCTTAGGAAACCTATGTGAATGGCCGTAATTGTATTACAACGAATTATAAACCTCAAAGCAAGCTTCACTGAGCTCTTTAGCAAGTTCCAAATGCAGAAACAGATTGGATTCCAGCAGCCAAGGTATGCCAGCCTTGGGTAATCAATCAGAGGGCAGGAAAAGAATAAATCAAAGGTAACCTGGGATTCCTAACACCATGACTTTGTAATTTATCACAGCGAGTGATACACACGCTGATTGCTTATTTTCTTGAGAATATGTACAACGAACAGCTGGTTGGTTATCCATGGCTGATTTCTAACCTACCACCAGTTTATATCATTGAGGCAATGAAATCAAGACTAATTTTAATATTAGCTTTAGAAAAACATAATTAGAAAGGTAATATGCTTGATTCAGAACCCAAGTATAAATTCCTTTTCGATGATACATAGCTATAGATTAGTAATTTATCTGTATGGTTAATCCCTTCCATTACAGTGGATAATCCAGAATTGGATGCAATTATTTACATATTGAAAGTAGTGAGAGTTGTCACGTGACGTTACTTCTACTGATTCTACCAAAGATGTTTTTCCTTGCCCACAATCTTCCTTATAAAGCGTGTCTAGATGCATGCAATTTTGCTTGCTTTTCACATTTCTAATTTTAAAAAGTACACATCTAGGCATTATTATTCATGTTTGTGGGAAAAAGTTACTAATTCTGACCTAAAAAGAAGCTAATACCGTAATTTACTCTACTCCACTGTTCCAAAGATTAACTCTCTGGCTTTGATTTTCCCTGCTCAGCAACCATCCACTTTGGCTTACGCACGACAAATCATTAAGAAGGAAGGTTTGGGACGGCGAGGCCTCAACAAAGGGTTGACAGCAACTTTGGGACGCCATGGAGTTTTCAACATGGTTTACTTTGGCTTCTACTTCAACGTCAAAAGCATTGTTCCTGTCCATAAGGTAACTATTTAATGGATTAAAATAAAGACAATGGCACTTGTAGAGTGTTCATCATGCCCCAGTCCCTGTGCAGAACATTTACATCCGTTATCTGATTTGATCCTCACCTCAGCCTTATGCACTGGGTGTCATCTTTGCTATTTTGAATCTAGAAACTAAGGTTTAGAAAGATCAGGTATACTGCCCAGGATCTCACAGTAAACAGTAAAGCAGGGGGTTGAACCCAAGTCTGACACAGAATATTTCTACTTGAATAATGTACCATTTTATCTAAACGTTTTACATTTGTAGCTAATGGAAATTTCTATAAACTGTATTGTTACTTAATTTTTATCTTAGTCACATAATTTTGGAGGAAAGCTGAAATTTTCATATTCTAAAGAATTTTTGAGCTAAAGGCGAAAAGTATGAGCCTAAATTTTAAGTTTTGCCTAGGTCATAATTTTTAAATCCATGTAGGTAAATTAAATGATAAATCAGCTCTTCTAGGATCATTTGCTTTGCTGTAATATAATGATAATAGATATTACCATTATTTTTATGTTAATTTACCAATACGAGTGGACTTCCAACTTCTGTAATATAAAGGTAGCGCAGGTTATGTTTTTAATTGGTACGATCACAGAATTTCCCCCACCATGAAGTCTCATACCCATGAAACTGACCCTGGATTTTAGACTCTGAGACAAGTAATTCATGCAGCATGAGAGAAGTGTCTATTCCTTCATCTCTCCAGCTCTCCAAAGGCTTAGGACAGAAAGAAATCACACAAAATGAAATGGTTATATAAATCATTTACATAAATGAGTATTTATATATTTGTGAATGCGTTTTAATGCATATGGTTTTACAATAAAATGAATAACTGAGTGCTAAAAAATCCACAAATGTAAGCTTTATTTTATAGTGACTCATTATGCTTAAATTTTTAAATGCCCTGCACTATTTAAAAAAAAAAAAACAGAAGCCTAGTAATTTATTTGATTTTTGGAAGACATCATAGTTTTTTGGAACTATGGAATGAGTCCATTTATCTTACCAGTTTAAAAACCAACCTTTAATAATCTTGAATATAATCTTATATTGCAATAAAAATATTGTATTAGATACCTGCATCTCCTGTGAGGCATTCCATAAAGCCCTGAGTTTCCTAAAGTGACTAAGACATTGCCCTGTTTTCAAGGGGTTTTCACAAAGACCTGAAGAAAAACCACCTGACAGACACAATGAAAATGGAGCATCATATTTAGATAAATATCATATCAGGAGTAATTAGTTAATGATAATTTTTTTTCTAAGTCAGTTTGAAAAGTACTGTGCAGACTCTCAAACCTGGCTTTTCTAAATTTGGACCACTATTCCAAAAATAAGTCCTCATCAGATTTGTTATGTGAAATAGATCACCATAGTTAAGAACAGCTTGTTTTTCTAACCTTCAAACTCAGAAATAAAATGGTTTCAATTCAGAAATATGTCTCTCTTTTGAAATATATGACTCTCCCTCCCAGCATATCAACCACTGCACTATTTCCTACCATTCTCCATTTTCATGTATAAAGGACACACAAGAATGCAAGTTTTATAATAACAGAGACTTTATGTATTCTGTTTCACTGCATATCCCCATTGATTAAAACATGCCTGGCACATAGTGGGCTCTTGGTAAATGTACATTACATGAAATAGAAGAATGAAAGAAAGAAAAGGGAAAGTAATGAAGGGAAGATTTTTTGTTTTTTTTTTTTTTTTGGAGGGGGGCTTTTACTAGGTCCTAAAGTGATCTGTTGCACAGCCAAGGATTTAGCTCAGTGGTGCTGTGCCTGCCTCTCAAGCACAAGGTCCCGAGTTCAATCCCCAGGACTGGAAAAAAATAAATAAAGTACTATACTGGCATTTGAGAGAGTGCCTATATTAGCCAATATTAGTTTATAAGAAGCTGGGAGAAAGTTATGATGAGGCTTCAAGCTAGAGTTGAATCTGACCATAATCAAGCAGAATTCCAGAGAAAGAAGAATTGGGCATTTCAGTTCAGGTATAACATAATAGGGTCTTTATATTAAGAAAGTGAAATGTTTATTTGGGGAAATGGTTCTAAAAACTGAGGTTTCCAAGTTGCCAAAATAAGTTTTCCCCAAGTTGCCTCAGTCGACTGCCAGAGGAGACAGGCACATCTGTGGGCAGTAGCCAAGATCCTGATGACTTCAGCAGTGCAGACAAGCTTCCAGGGCCCAGGAAAACCTCCAGACTACAGGCGGAAGAGGTGAGGAGGGGACTGTTCTTCCTGGGTTTCTTCGTATTCGGCATCCATCCCATTGTTCTCATTATATTCAGTGAGATGTCACCCCACATTTTGCCAAATGAACTTTCTCTTAGCCAGCACTTCTGTATCTAGACTGTATAAATAAGTAACTGCTTACCTTATTAATCAAACTCTTGAGGAATACTGCAGTATTACCCAAACCTTTATATGAAAGATACATTTTTCTCACTATAGTTTTAGAACTGTTTTTTAAACTTGTGTGGCCATCCTAACAAGCTGAGAACTCTTGACTAGAACACCTCAGTCACCCATTCCCTTACCAAATAGGGAAGTTCATGAAATATGGCTTCTTGTTATTTTAAAAACTAAAGGTTGAATAAATGCCACTGTAATCCTTTCTGTACATTAGTTTTACACTAGTGGGGAAAGGCCAAAGCACTGCTTCCTACATTTATGACTATTAACAATTTTAAATCATAAACTTCTTTTGACAGTGCTAAAATGTGCCATGTTGGCTCAGAATTTTATTTCTAAGCTTTAGTTTCCAAGACACACCAAAAAAGCTGATTTATTTTCATTTAATGACCTGGGCACTCGGGACCCCTTCATTGAGGGTGGGGGATATGTTATGCTTAAAATTTGGGATCAGCAGGACTGAGTGTGACTCCAACACATATTTACCAAATGTCTAGCAAATACCAGGCCCTGTGCTGGCTTCCAGTGGGTGCGATAGTTAGAAAACATCACCAAGTGTACAAAGCAAGGAAAGTAACAGACAAAAATGGGTAAACAGACAGATACATGCTAACATGTGATGAAGGAGAAATGTCCCCAGTATAAACTTGGCAATCCCAGAGGGAAACAATCTGGCTAGGGAGACACGGGGTTCAGAGCCTACTGCTCATTATACAACACACTAAGGATTCTTTATCTAAAGCCCACTAGCATCTTAGTCCACTTTCTGTTGCTATTAGAGAATACCTAAAACTGAGAAACTTATCAAGGAAAGAGGTTTCCTTAGTTCACAGTGGGAAGGAGGGAAGATTGGGCATCACGTCTGGTGGGTACTCACGCTGCATGATGAAGGCAAATAGGCACATGCAATACAGGTAAGGGGACAAAGGGGATCCATCCTCACAATAACCTACTCCCCCAAGGACTACATTCATTCTCTTCTGAGTGCAGAGCCCAAACACCTCTCAAAGGGCCCACCACCTCTCAACACTATGACTTTGGCATTGAATTTTTAACATGAGTATTTTTTTTCCTCATTGAGTTTATTGGTACATTCTAGGTATACAGTACAGTTACATTCATCATTGGGGTCTTGTGCCTTTACATGACAGGTCTTGGTTCTCATTTTTTCCCCTTGTCCCTGCTCTCCCTTCTCCCCTCATCCATTCCCTGTTTACAAAAACTTTATTTCCATTTTTTCATTTTCTCATATTTTTTCTTTTCCCTTATTCCCTTTCCCCTACCCTTCCCACTTCCCCTACACCTTTAGCCCTTTTCTTCCTATTACACATTGTCAATTATACCATTAGGATCTTATTTGCAATTATAGTTTTTCACACCAGAGAAACGATTTGGTATTTACAAATGTGTGGCTTATTTATTTCACTTAAGAGTATAAGCTCAGTATGCATCCATTTTCCTATGAGTGACTCTAATTTCTCACTTTTTATGACTGAGTAGTATTCCATTTTATGGAAAACCCACATCTTCTTTATCCAGTCTCTGATTTATGGGCAAATGGGCTGTTTCAAGTGGGAAACCCACAGAAGATTTGAAGCAGAGGAATTCCCTGATCCGTATGGCTGCAGCATGGAGAATGGATGGAGTGAAAGTGGGAAGGAAAGGAGGTAGAACATCTCTGTGGAAAAGTTTTCAATATGAGGTGATGGGGCCTTGGACTACAGTGTTCATAGTGGAGACAAAGAGGAGTGGGCAGACTTGAGAAATATTCCACAGGCAGGAGCCCTAGGATGTGGTGGTGCAATAAATGTGCCTGTTGAGAAAACATGCTGAGGGGTTAGAGATGATGCCTAGATGTTTGGTTTAGGCAACCAAAAAGATAAATTACACTATTCACTGAAGAAATAGTGAAAGAGAAACAGGCTGTGAGAGAATACTGAGGCTCAGCCTGGAAACGGTGACTCCATTTGGAGTGGCAAAGAGCAGACATTGACTCGGTTGGTTGTACGTGGGTTCCGGGGCCTAACAGAGAGATGTGAGGTGGAGACAGACACTTAAAAGTGATCAGTCAACCTTGTTGAGAGGAGAAGGGCTGCCCCTTACTGGTTCAGTGACCTTGAGCCCATCGTCTCACTGCTCTGAGCCGCGGGTCTTCGATTTGTAAACTGAAAAGCGATGCTTGTGCTTTCTATTCGACAAAATTGTTTTGAGGACTAAAATAAATAATGTGGGAAGTAGTTTGTGAATGTTAAGATGCCATAAAAGTGTTAAGTGTGATGGTGCCGATGACGGTGATGGGGTGGAAGGGAGGCTGTGAGGCGGGTGAGGAAGTGGTTAGTATTCAGAATCACATGAGGAATTTTTCCCCAGGACTATTCTTTTTGCACTTAAATGAACACTATGTTTTTCTTGACTAGAACAAAGTCATTGATTTTTATGTGTTCTGTAATCTAAGCCTGATTCAAAACTGGGAAACCAGTATTCTTTAAATTTAAACCATAATAAATCAATCCTTTGTGAAAGGAAAGGTATGATAATCATTAAA